GGCAATCAGGTAACCCCTGTGAATCAAAGGACGGCAGTCTTCAACCACAAGACTCCATAGCAATTACGCTAACACTTTGTTTAGTCTAGAGCGTACATCTGAAGCTCACATCATAGGGCACACAAATCAAACAAACAAGCATCGCGAACCTTACCACTTGGGAAAACATAAAACAAATATCATGTTCAAACAGAAACTGGCAAGTGTTTTGTGATTCTTTGTTGCCCAAGTTAGATGTTATGAGAATGGCGGAACCTTACGACTGATCTCGAAATAACAAATTTCAGAACAATAGCACGTTTTTTAATTAGGCCGTAAGGTGAATATTCGTCGCCAGGGCTGGAATAGGGACAAAGGGACAACCCTTAGAGTGCACTCATTTAATAGCACTGCGTTGCAATAACTAAATGTACAAACAATGTACGGTAAACTCGAGAATGGACAGCTTCCGGTTAGAGTCACTTCCGTGTTTCCCCCCCTCAATTTCTAGTTTCATTAATAGTAACTATAGGAGCTTACCAGATGAGCGCTGCATTTATTACTATTAAAGGGGTGATGAACTGAGAAATCAAATTTTCCTTGAGCCTTATGACATCTAAGAGGTCGTCATATTATAAGAATATCCTGTAAGTTTCAGAACTGAAAACGTCCGTGTTAGTCCAATAAAAGCTTTTATTGGGGAACTATGACATCGAAGAGGATAAAACACCACCCCCACAGAAGAAGATCAACGCCTACTTCAACACGGCCGGTTTAGCCCCGCCCATCGATTCGCGCATTACACGCATAGCTAAATAACATAGATGCCTACCTCGTGATGACAAACCAGATCGAGCTACCGAGCAATACAAAATATTGTGCAGCGCCCGGTTGTGGAAGAAGACAGTCACTGCATAAGCTTCCTCTGGATTCCAATAGGACTGAATTGATAAACTTTATTTTTAATGGTGTTCCAGATGATGAGGTAAAACATTGTCCATCTGTTCGCTTCATTTCACTGAGGATTGTTTTGTAAACAAGACTAGATTTGCAGACCGATTAAGAGTAAAGAACGGTGCTGTGCCGTTTATATTGGATCTGACAGGAATTGTGCAACACACTCGAACATGTATGGGCGAATCATTCCGGTTGCCATTTTACAACATTGGACGTTTTCAGAACAATTTCCCCCAAGTGCATCGACAGGTGAGTTGAAACTCATTATAATATGCAAAACTGTTCTCGACTCACAGCAGTGGGCGTTTACTTCCAAGTCTTCAGTGCGAGACGCCCATAAAAACCGAGCGTTTTTCAGCTAGGCTCAAAACTAGGGTACAAAATAGCCTACAACTTATTCATTTTGATGTTTTTGAATGCAAAAACCAAGCGAACGTCATAAGTTGACCTCAGACAATATAATAAAATTTAATAAGCCAGTTCATGACCCCTTTAAACAGAAATCACAAACAACGCAAAGCTATTTTGGAGCAATTTGTGTCTGAATTCACCAAATTATTTTCAACTTCTTTAAAGGGTTGAGTTCACTTTTCCGCTGGAACTAGACTAGAATGTATGGATTGCTTTTATGATGGATGAATGTGCTTTTTTAGGATTCAAAATCTCATTTGAAGCTTAGAAGGGCTAGGATATTTTATTAATATATCTCTGATTGTGTTTGGCTGAAAGAAGAATGTCCAATACACCTAGGATGTCTTGAGGGTGTGTAAATTATGGAATAGTTTTCATTTTTTGGGTGAACTAACCCTTTAAAGGAGAAGTTTTGCTGACTTTTGCTGATAATTTACTCACCCCCATGTCATCCAAGATGTCTTTCTTTCTTCAGTCGAAAAGAAATTAAGGTTTTTGGTGAAAACATTGCAGGATTTTTTTCCATATAATGGACTTCAACGGGAAACAAACGGTTCAAGGTCCAAATGACAGTTTCAGTGCAAACTGTTCAAAGGGCTTTAAACGATTCACGACAATGAATAAGGGTCTTATCAAGCGAAACGAACGTTCATTTAAAAAAAAAAAACAAAGTTTAAGTTTTATAAGCTCAAATGATCGCCTTGCTCTGTACTGTGTGACTCTCCTGTTCGAACTCGTTCATCAAAATGAACGAAACTTTTTCCGAGTCAATTCGTTCATTAAACACACACCATGACAAGTGTAGGGGAACATTGTTACACAATTAAGCGACATGAACCTAATTCGTCTCTTCTGAATCCAAGTTGTCTAGACTACTGCAAATTTGGTTCAAGTGAACTTAAATGATGAGAAATATTTGGAAGGTGACTCTGACCCATTACATGCCCAAATAAACCCGGGTAACTCAGTGTCCTTGAGTTTAATAGCCTGCCTGAGTGTGAGATATCAGGTGATTGGCATTACGGTTCAGCAAGGCCAGAGGCAATTTAAGTCTCAAGGCATGAGAAAATCCCTTCCAAGGCATCTATGCGGAATTGACTCCATTTGATCCTCACCTTCCTATCTTACAATGGTCTCATGTGTGCGGTGGGCATAGACCTATTCAGTGTTTACATGATAGCACTCTCTTGTTGAGGGAAAGAACAGCCACAGGCTGACTCGAGAGAATGTAGCTCTTTGTCAAAGAGGTCAAGCTGGTTTTTGACCTCTTTCTCTGGTGTTCGAAATACTTGGCACAACCATGTGTAACAGGTACAGACACTGGCACTAAGCTCTGCCCAACCCTGGAATGAAGGAGGATGAAGTTTGTGGACTTCTGTAGTTTCTGGGTCAATTAACCCAACAACATTCCTGTCAACCAATCATTTGACTTAAGTTTAGGGTTAGAAATATGCTTGGGACTTGATAGTTGCTGAGAACGTATATAGTTACGGGGATTGTTTCAGAAATCTGGTTCCAGGACAGGACTAATAAAAATGAACAACCAATTTGGCAAATATCACAATTATCAACAGTGTTATCCAAGAACCATACAATGAAAACGTTTCCTGACAAGATAAATATGCTTTGCTCAACCACTGAATAATCTTAATATAGGTATATGGACCACAATCTTCTAATATAGCCTTGGTAAAGTGAACTGAAGTTTCTTCTGAATGTTGTTCCTCAGAAGAATTTGAGTAGAATAAATTGGGTCTAATGTAAAGATCAGTACAACAAATCAGCATTGAAGCTGATAATGGAGTCAACTACTTCTTATTTATACTAATAGTGGGAATGAAGACAATGACAACATAACCAACTTTAAATGCCTGCAATCTATGAAACATAACTATGACCTGTTTTGAAAAAACATCACTTGGGAGTTGACAAAAATGTCTTACTTTCTATCAAAACAGCAATTACTGTTACAACAAAACTCTGTTACATTTTATTTTAAGGTGTCAAGTGTTACAGTGTAATTATATATTTATGTACTGTGTAATATTAATTGACGTCACCAGGATTGTGGTTTGGTTGAGGGGGTTAGTTGCATGTAATTATGCATAATTTACTACTATGGCAAGTACATATAACATTATACTGTAAAATAAAACGTTCCCAAAACTCTGACTCGGCAAGTACAAGAAAGCTTCCTTGAAGAGGATCCCATATTAGTTTACCACGGTGTGTTATGCAGTGACTATATTATTTTGGTGACCATGAACATTTTTGTAACGGATTAATTTGTTTGTAACCTCCACACACACATAAACAGCTGTGCTGCTGAGTTTATTTGTTGTTGATGCACAAACATTTTCACACGCGCGCGTCAATCCGAATCATACTGGCGAGTTATCTTATCACCTGACTGAAGTCTTATCAAAACATGCATGCTTGACATGAAAAAGCGATTTGTATCATCCCTCAAATAGCGCTACAATCATACTTACTGTCTTTCTTGTGAATGAACTCCACTCATAACATACATGAACACAGTCCACAGAGTCCAGGAATTGTGGTGCACATGCAACACTCTCATTTTGTCCCTCGTTTGTTTTGTAACGAGTCCACAATACGTAGGCTATATTCCACAAATATATGATTACTATTTCGAGTGCAATCTTAAGTATCCACGAGGGGAAAGCACGAGCCTCCGGTGGAGCGCGTGCTGCTTTTTATCCCAATTCCCAGTATCGTGTCCGTGCAACTGATTTTTGAACTCCTCTCCACGCGTAAAGACAATCCCTCTTGGCGTGCCTTATTTATCCGCCTCAGTTCCGATTGCTCATATTTCAGCATTAAAAATTATCTCCATCCACCCCACCCCTTGTGTAGCACGGTATTTAGTGCACATCAGATCCATTGAGCTGAGCTCCACAGCCTAATGTAACAGGCTGCTTTTGCCCCTTTGAACTCTCCAGGCTTTTGTCTCATTCAGTGGTGTGTCAGAACAAGTCTAACAAACAGAGCCCCTCTGAGCTAGTAGAGACAGGACTGCTCGAGTCTGTCCCTCAACGCGAATTGGAAGCTTTTCTGTAAATTTACAGGTCCAATTGAATGAGTCTGAAAAGAGAACGTTTTAGTCGTGTAATGTTTAATTTATTTGATGCCTGTGATAAATATAATTATAAAATTTAAAATTATTATAAAAGTTATTTACATTAAAAGTGTGTAATTAAAATGTAAAACTTTACCCTGACTTGAATTTGTTTTAATATGGAGGGAAAATATATGACATCGGGGCCCCCTAGTGGCGCTTTAGCACTAGACATTTAAAATCAGCTTTTGTGTTGAGCTTTTGAAGTTTGCGTTTGATGTAGCTTTTTTATATAGGCCCTATGAAAAAAACGGTATTCAATTTCCTATTTTAGAACATGAATATATATATATATATATATATGGATTTAACATGTAGAAAGAAAAAATAGCATATAGAAATTAACATTTAGAAAGAAAAAAAAGACAAAATTTAGAAAGAAAGGAAAATAATAGGAGTGTAGCCTACATATAACAAGTTAAAATTAACCACATATCAAAATAATACTTTTTCAGTTGTATGGCCCAGTACGCCAGCATCGCGGCTACGTCACATGATGACGTTGTCGTCCGCGAACCTAAACAGGAAGTGATGCTACAGCGTGACTAGACGAGACGATACACATGTTGCGCGAGAGTAGATTAGATACATCAGCTAAGCAACGAAAACACTCAAAGCAGTTTCAGCATCATGGTAAGTTATTGAATATTCAGACTGTATTATATAATCAGATTCAGGAATAGGAAATGACCAGAAATATACACACAGTCGTGAAATTGCTAACGCTAGTCTATACAGAAACAAAATGTTTGTTCAGAAGACGAATATTTATTACATGTACATAAATTAATGTTAAAGTTTATTTTAACAAATGAATACTACAACATATATAAATGCATTCTAATTATATCACTGATTATTACCATGTTTTGGAGATTTACATACACTCACCTAAAGGATTATTAGGAACAGCATACTGATACTGTGTTTGACCCCCTTTCGCCTTCAGAACTGCCTCAATTCTATGTGGCATTGATTCAACAAGGTGCTGAAAGCATTCTTTAGAAATGTTGGCCCATATTGATAGGATAGCATCTTGCAGTTGATTTGTGGGATCAACCAAAATTGGACAGCTGAAGACTGGAAAAATGTTGCCTGGTCTGATGAGTCTCGATTTCTGTTGAGACATTCAGATGGTAGAGTCAGAATTTGGCGTAAACAGAATGAGAACATGGATCCATCATGCCTTGTTACCACTGTGCAGGCTGGTGGTGGTGGTGGAATGGTGTGCGGGATGTTTTCTTGGCACACTTTAGGCCCCTTACTGCCAATTGGGGATCGTTAAATGCCACGGCCTACCTGAGCATTGTTTCTGACCATGTCCGTCCCTTTATGGCCACCATGTACCCATCCTCTGATGGCTACTTCCAGCAGGATAATGCACCATTTCACAAAGCTTGAATCATTTCAAATTGGTTTCTTGAACATGACAATGAGTTCACTGTACTAAAATGACCCCCACAGTCACCAGATCTCAACTCAATAGAGCATCTTTGGGATGTGGTGGAACGAGAGCTTCGTGCCCTGGATGTGCATCCCACAAATCTCCATTTACTGCAAGATGCTATCCTGTCAATATGGGCCAACATTTCTAAAGAATGCTTTCAGCACCTTGTTGAATCAATGCCACATAGAATTAAGGCAGTTCTGAAGGTGAAAGGGGGTCAAACACAGTATTAGTACGGTGTTCCTAATAATCCTTTAGGTAAGTGTGTATGTGTGTGTGTGTGTGTGTATATATATATATATATATATATTGATGTTTGTGAGTGGTGTCTGTTCTAACTTTGTTATGCATCTTTCATTTTTAAAGGCGCCTACAGATTTCAAAAATTTGGTCAGAAGATTTTATGTTCTTCAAGCTGAGCGTGTGGAGGCATACACACTATTTGAGGAGTCAGTCTATCTATCTATCTGTCTATCTGTCTGTCTGTCTGTCTTTATATCTATCTATCTGTCTGTCTGTCTATCAGGGGTATTTTGAGGTAATGCAGTTGTTGTTCTCAGGGGTCATGAGGCGTATTTAAGGACAGGGCCCCACTATGACTTTGAGCACTACAAACAGCTGGTACATGAGATAACAAAAGCATTCTGTGGCATTTCCAAAGAAGTTCTGAAGATTAAAGAGCAACTGCACCAAGACTTCGACCGGCCGGACCTTTCAGAGCACATTGAGAAACTGCAGATTAAAGAGAAAGAAAAGCTAGAGCTGGTGAGCACTTTGCACAAGACTGTATTGTTTTTAAAAATGTTTGGTTAATACTACATATAAATGTGCACTGCTTGCGATCCAGTTATTATCTCAACAATAAATTAATCATTCTAATTTAACTTTTGGCAGATGGATAAAATGAGTGAGCATAGACAAACAATATAGCTGGGAATTGATTAATCACTGCATTGAGTGCATTGCATCATGGGATACAGCATTTCAATCAGTGTTTTGATCTTTTATGCATAAGAAGCCTTTCTAAGATGTGCACTTTCAAGCATATTTACTAAGGATAAAACATTTTAGTCCTGCACAACTTCTGCGTCAGCCAATTAGCATGTACTGAAATGATTCTGCTCATCTTAATTTATTGCATAAAATTAAAAAAAAGTTTTATACCAAATGCATCAGTTCTGTAAGTACTATTCCTAATGTTTATTTATACGGATGTCTTTTCAGACAGCTAAGTTACAGTTGGCCAAGCAGAATGCCCAAGATCACCCAGAAGATGAGGATTTCCAGGAGAAAGTCCATGAGATCAAACAGGAGTAAGTGCAACGTTTCCAACACACCTGCTAATGTCAAATAAATGTTTCATCCTGGTGGTTTTCATATACTTTGTATATAAATTTTATGTTAAAAACCTATTATTGTTGTAAACATCCAAATAAAAATACTCTTTATGTTTCACTCCATCTCTGTCAGTATAATAAAGAATACGGCCGCTTTGAGTGAGATTCTGCAGGACTTCAAGTATGACTCGGAGGAGCCGGAGTGAGATGTAGTCCGTCTCAGGAGAGAGAGATGGATTCAGATCCTCTATGAACTTTCCCTTTTAATGAAGAGTCATCTAAGGTATCAATCGCTGTCTTGGGTGCTTTAAAGATAGACTGCATTGCTGATGCAGGCTTTGCGAATCATATATTTATTAAATAGAGTTTGGCATCTTTTATTTGATTTTTTTTGTATGTTCGAAAATAGCTTGACATTCTGTTTATTAAACTAACTCAAAGTTCATTGAAAGTGTAAAACATTGTTCATGATCATATGCATAATAATAGTGTGGTACAAAATATATGAACATTCCTTTGATATTTTTAAGACATTTATACAGAAAAAACTATTTTTTACATAATGATACAGTATTTACATGGAAATGCATTACAATTTACACTTAAATGATCTAAACTTGTAATGTGCTTGCCAATTAAAGGGACAGTACACTGAAATTAAAAAGTTTGTCATTATTCACTCACCCTTATGTCAAAACCTGTACCATGTGTTCAAGTTTCAAAAAAGGATACAAAAGCACCATAAAGTGGTCCATGTGATGATATTCCAAGACTTTTGAAGACTTATGATAGTTTTGTGTGAGGAACAATTATTTTAGTCATTTGAACTGAATCATTCAGATAAGTTTTATAAACTGGACCAGCAAAGAACGATTCATTTAGATCGCTAATTATCCCATGAACTAGATTTAAGGTGGATTGTGATCTAACACTATCATCCGACTCCAGAAGCCTTTGATTATAAAGCACAAGTCAGATATATGACACTTTTATGGGCCTTTTTAATCTTCGAGCTTGGCAGAACCAGTCCTTATTAACTTTTTTGGTCCCACTTTATATTAAGTGGATTTAAGTACTATGTACTTACATTGAAACGAATCATTTGATACAATGGATTTATTGTGTACATACATGTTTTTACATTGTAATTATATTTTAAGAATACAAGCATGTAATTACAGCTGTAACTAATTTATGTAATTACATCTGTAATTACACAGCTGACCCATCCCTTACACCTTAACCTACAATAAGTACGTTATACTTATTTTTCAATGTAAGTACATAGTACTTATAGCCACTTAATATAAAGTGGGACCGGGACGGTCAAACTGGATAAGTGTTTTCATAGTTCCTACAACTATTGGCGAAAGTACCAACTTTTTCGTGTGTTCGCACCTCAGGAACTATAAACTATTTAAGAGATAGGAATGAGACTAAATTAGCTCCTACTTCAGAGAAGGATCTAATCCGCCAAAAGAGGAACTACCAGTGGCGTAAGTGTACGCCGATTGGCCGAACGCATGGCATTTGAAACACTGATGTCCGCCATTTTTAAAAAGATGTGTAAACGCACAATTTAGAAATACTTATGAACTAATTTCACGAGCATGGAAAACAGCGATTGATTGAATGACACAAAAGTCAAGGCATTTCTCAATCGATCACGGCATCCTCCATCCTCCCGTTGTTGAGTGCTATGTTTAAATGACCGCCATCTTACGTCACTGCAGAGTTCGCAGTTCGGTGCGAATGCAACCAGGAAAATGACCCTAGCAATTACTTCTCAAGGGACTGCCCTGGTGGCAAGTTCCTATTACTAACTAGCTAACTTTAGCTAACTACGTTATTTATCATAATCTAACAATGAACAATAGATCGACAGCAAGCATTTATTAATCTTAATGTTAATCTCGACATTTACTAATACATTGTTAAGATCAGAAGTTGTATCTATTAACATTAGTTAACGCACAGAACATGAATTAACTAACAAACAAAGGTTCATCATTTCTTTAAGAATATGATACTCGTTGCTAGTTCATGTTAAAGCATTAACTAATGTTAACAAATGAGACCTTGTTTTATAGCGCAACCACTTTTTTAGTAAACTTTCCCTTTAAGAGAAATATTTAAATTATCTTTTTTTTGCTTACAAATTCTAACTCGTAGCAAACACAATAAACTTTGTATATAAAATTGTCTGAAAATTGAATCATTTTCAATCTACTGTGATCAGTTGACTTAACTTAAAGTGAACTTCAACTGAAAAAATTAAGTTATGTGTTACTTAATGTGTTAATTAAGTTAAAAGTTACTTGACAAGTCCACATAACTTAATCTTTTCAATTACGCATGAAGTTTATGTACTTAATTTTAAGGCAACGGGTTTTCTCAGTCTTTTCTTTTAGTTAAGGCCCTGTTTACACGATGGGAAAACGCAGATATTTACACGAAAACGGCGTTTTTATCACTGAAAACGATTATTTCTAAAAACAATAACAATTTCTCCAGCGGAACTGGGAGAAACGGCGTTTTAGGTTCTCTCTTGTCGTTTCTGAGGATTCTGATTGGCTTGCATGGATTTATCCTTAACCCCTACACTGCCGCCAATAGGTTTGGCATAGTTATGATGGCGCTCGACGGCGTATTTATGCGGGTGTGTAAACGATGTTATTTCTGAAAACGGAGAGGGGGAAAATATTCGTTTTGCCAAATACCCGGATTTGTGTAAACATGGCCTAAGTCAACTGTTCACTTTTTACAGTGTAGTTGTAAAGGTCCTTTTTTGGATGACAGGTCAATAGTGAGATGAGAAATGAGAATGACAGTCTCCCATTATCAACATTTTATGCTCTCTTTCGTCATTTTGAGTCTTTCTTTTTGGTTTAATGCCCTTATAAATAACATGTCTGAGACAAAAGCACTTCCTTTGACGTATTTGACGGGGACTATAGCAGGAGGCATGCAGTAGATCATGTCGCCAAACTACAGTCTCCTTGCGGATTCCTTCAGAGAGTCTTGGCTCATCCAGATGAAACGTCCCAAGCACTGGAGAGTGATAAAAACGTTGTTGTCGCAGGCCCCCGCAAACTCTCCCAAGCCTTCTTTAGAGTTTCACTATGATTTACCGCTGTGTAGTACCTGAAAGGCAAGACAATGGCATTTACAAGTGAATGCGATGAGTTGATATATGGGGACAGAGAAGCGTAATTGGTACCAGCCATTCTTGTGGCAGTTACATCGTGTTCTTCAAAGGACAGTGTGACTAATGAAGCGGCCTAAGTTTCCCAACCGTCGTCAGTGCCAGAGCAACAGTAACCACTGAATCGGTTCAGAGAGCGTGCAGCGGATGTCGGATAGCATTCTAGTACGCCACACAAGACTTTTCGTGCTTGGTTGGATCGCAACTGAAGCTTTGCTGCACAGTCTAACCTAAAAGGAATTTATTAGCATTCCGGCTGATTACTTTGACTGGCTGTTCCCGTCTGTTGTGGTAACCGTCTGAAGATTATATGATGCTCCGCCATTAGCAAACGCAATCAAATTCGAGTCTATTGATCAAAAGCTTAAACGGATATTTTGGTTCTCTTTTGTGTTGGTCACATAAAACCACTAAATGTGGCTGTATTTCATGTGTACCAAGAGTGATGATTTGCCTTCTTGATAGGTGTTGCAATAGAGGGTACAGTTTGTCCTTACTGACCTGGTCGTGCGTTTTTTGGGCTTTCTGCAGCCAGACGCGCCATTGGTCGTAGAGTTTGATGCTGACGTCCGTACAGCCATAAGAGTGTTTGCGCATCCAGCCGAAAAACTGCTTGAGCTCCTTTCGTAGCGTTGAGTTGTGCTCGCTTGGCTTCGAATCGCAACTATGGGACCTTTCTGCTGGGAAAATGGAAATGAAAATGATATTAAAGTGATATTAAAATATTGAGTTTTTAGTAAGCAGTTACAAAACCGTAAACGTTCAACTGCAATTTAAAACTCGTATATATTGGACTGGGCAATTTTGAATACTGTCAAAAAACATTTCGACAGTATTCATTTTGGGATGTAAAATGATTAAATTAAATTATTTTTAGTGTTTTATTTTTAATTTAGACAAAATGGTATAGAATTTTAACATTATTTTTATGGCCAATAAATGACCAAAATAATCCTCAGCTTATCAGTAAAAGTCTGAATTTTTAAATGGGTAAATCCCTAATCTTGATATATTTATAAATCATTATTTTTTTCTCCTGTTTTTAATTTATTGCACCATTATAGCATTGCATAGTAAAAAATAATAATAATAATCAAAGTTTACCTACATAAATTATTTTCAAAATATTATATGTAATACATTAAAAATGAAAAAATAAAATCAGTGATTAGTTTTTGTATTATTATTTATATACTATCATTAAGGTGTACACTCACCTAAAGGATTATTAGGAACACCATACGAATACTGTGTTTGACCCCCTTTCGCCTTCAGAACTGCCTTAATTCTATGTGGCATTGATTCAACAAGGTGCTGAAAGCATTCTTTAGAAATGTTGGCCCATATTGATAGGATAGCATCTTGCAGTAAATGGAGATTTGTGGGATGCACATCCAGGGCACGAAGCTCTCGTTCCACCACATCCCAAAGATGCTCTATTGAGTTGAGATCTGGTGACTGTGGGGGCCTTTTTAGTACAGTGAACTCCTTGTCATGTTCAAGAAACCAATTTGAAATGATTCAAACTTTGTGACATGGTGCATTATCCTGCTGGAAGTAACCATCAGAGGATGGGTACATGGTGGCCATAAAGGGATGGACATGGTCAGAAACAATGCTCAAGTAGGCCGTGGCATTTAAACAATGCCCAATTGGCACTAAGGGGCCTAAAGTGTGCCAAAGAAAACATCCCACACCATTCCACCACCACCACCAGCCTGCACAGTGGTAACAAGGCATGATGGATTCATGTTCTCATTCTTTTTACGCCAAATTCTGACTCTACCATCTGAATGTCTCAACAGAAATCGAGACTCATCAGACCAGGCAACATTTTTCCAGTCTTCAATTGTCCAATTTTGGTGAGCTCTTGCAAATTGTAGCCTCTTTTTCCTAATTGTAGTGAAGATGAGTGGTACCCGGTGTGTGCTGTGGATCACAAATGCTTTGCTGCATACCTCGGTTGTAACGAGTGGTTATTTCAGTCAAAGTTGCTCTTCTATCAGCTTGAATCAGTCGGCCCATTCTCCCCTGACCTCTAGCATCAACAAGGCATTTTCGTCCCCAGGACTGCCACATACTGGATGTTTTTCCCTTTTCACACCATTCTTTGTAAACCCTAGAAATGGTTGTGTGTAAAAATCCCAGTAACTGAGCAGATTGTGAAATACTCAGAGTGGCCCGTCTGGCACCAACAACCATGCCACGCTCAAAATTGCTTAAAACACTTTTCTGTCCCATTCTGATTTTCAGTTTGGAATTCAGGAGATTGTCTTGACCAGGACCACACCCCTAAATGCATTGTTGATTAAGATAATTGCATAAATGAGAAAAACAGGTGTTCCTAATAATCCTTTAGTTGAGTGACGGTACATATTTTAAATGTGAACCATTTTTAAAACATATGTTAAATTCAAGCCCAGCTGACGACAGTTGCTTAAATGCTGTCGATTGTTCCGCGTGGCCCTGAGCGATGTGCACATTCCCATGAATAATAGGCTATTT